ACAAACTCCCACGCATTTCTCAGCTTACTACACTGAATTGTCAATAAAGAAGTTTTTTTAACACCTCATGTACGCTCAACATTACACCCTGGATCGAGGGCCGCTGCAACTTGATAAGACAAAAGCTGTTGGATTTTTATCCTTCATTTTATTTCCATTTTATTTTATTTCTCTCCGGTGCGTTTTATTTATTATTATTTTTTTTATTTATCATTTTTATTTTTTTATTATTTTTATTTTTTTTTTTTGCACTGTTCGCTGAGCCGCTTCTTTGTTGCTGTCAACATTTGTTGTGTTTGTATGAAGCCAGAATAAACCGAAATTAAGTAATCGGGGTTATAAATTAGACCTAGTTCGACGAAATTAAATTTCTGACCTTAGAAATAAGAAGCAACATCATAAACTTGATAAGCATTTAAAATGTTTTTATCCCCGAGATTTCAGGGTAGGACCCGGGCCATATTTGCCTCATATATCTGTCTGGTAATGATGTTAGATAGCATTTTATGTACACAGGTAGTCTGACATGTTTATTTAGATAAAAATACGGCGGCACTGGTAGAGATTAAGCAAGAAGAAAGAACACTGTTGTGAGGGTTGACACTTGTGCTTTTTTATTACTTTGAAGTTATTAATTCAGTGTATTTGGTCCAAGCTGTTGAAGCTTTTTTTTTTTTTTTTTTTTTCTATTGCCGCTGTTGCTTTATTGATACTACTGTTGTTCCTACGGTTTAATCTGTTCATCCCTTGTTATCGTTGTGGCTGCTGTAGCAGATATTGTTTCTGCGCTTTTTTTTCCTACTATTATTACTATTGTTATTGTGTTGCAGTTCTTCCTAATGTTTGCTATTGCTGCATTGCTCTCGTGGTTGGCATCAAAGTTTTTTTCCCTGTCTGACCTGTATTACTATATGTGTGTGTGTGTGTGTGTGTGTGTATTTTCCATGTGTGCGCCTACAAGGAAACAGTTGGAAAAAGATTAAATTGCAATAATTGAATCCAGCGCGCTATAATGACTAGAAGGCTACCACTGTAGATCCTGGTTGGAGATGCTTTTTAGTTGCAGGTGGCGCAGTACTGCTACAGGGTGCAAAAATATGCATACACGTGTAGCCGCTATTAGCACTTCTTTTGTCATTTCAATCAGCTGTCTGACCCTATCAAAAAATAACCGCAGACACTTGAAACAAATAAAAAAGGTTCCGCATCCTGGTGTCAAGTTCCTAAATGCCATGCTTCTTGAGAAGTGGGATGGCTCGGAGACTTGGTATTTCAGTGAAATTTTCATCCGTGGGTGGGTTAAATATTATTGCTTTCCTATGAAGGAATTTCTCATTGAATTTAGCCATGTCTTTTTTTTCTGCCGATAGCACGTGTTACTTTTACCATGAATTTGTGGAAACTTTTACAAGTGGATGAAAAGAATATTTCAAAATAGCTAATGACATCACTTCTAGAAAATAAGACTTTTTCGTAATTTTGTAGGCTTGTCAAACAGAAGCAATCGAATTCCTGGGGGTTTCTCTCATCTCATTGTTTCTAGATGCTTAGATGCTCTTTATTTATTTATTTATTTATTTATTTATTTATTTTATTATTTATTTATTTACCCCACATGCACACACTTACATACTCAAACAAACGCACTCGGTCTCACAGACGCACTCATACAAATTCCCATCCAAATCAATCCCCAACCCGTTCTCTGTCCCCCCC